GCAGAGAGAAGAAGAATGAAGAAGAAAAAAATATCCAGAACCTTGTTTCTCTCATTAGCTTTCCACGTGGTTTATTAAATATCCTTAAGAAACATTTAATTATTTTCCTTGTCAAAAGACTCATTTGCACCTTTAGTTCCTCATGCTTTGCTAATTGATCCTACACCAAATATTTCAATAAATTCCTTCAACTTTCAATTTATCAACTTTGATCACTAAATTTTAAAATTTCACAATTTAATCACTAACCCGGTATGGAGGATATTACAATATGAATGAGATTAATTACACTTAGAAACAAGATTTATTAGGATGACATAAAACTAGCGTTATTTGAATGCTCGGGAAAATGACCAGGACACCCGAGTTCTTTCAGAAAAGCTAGCAGAGTCGATATTATATATTCAATCTGGATATCCTTAGGTAGAGTTGAGGCCCTTTTGACTAACTATGTTTGCCGAGGCCTTAACACTCTTTAGAAGAAATGGTGGGTTAGTAAGGGGTATGGCTTTCGATGCAGAGAATTTCGGGGGCCATATCCATGGTAGACTAGAGGGGTGTGTGAGCTCTGAGATGCAGAATCCTCAATTGCACCATGATGCCTACCATAGCGTAGAGAGTGAGTATTCGAGAATACTCACTAAAGCAGTTTTAAAGTATACTAGCTTGGGAGCAAGGTCCAACACTCAAGTAGTTGGCTAGAAGATCAGATAGCAGTAGACTTGATAGCTTGAGCATGACATGAACACTTTTTGTATGACTTGCTCAGCGTTTGGAATTTGTTTCCTTACGCAGTTAGTCGAGGAGCAATCCGATGACTTTTTGTCAGTATCGATCCAGACCTAGCTAGTGCAGAGTACGTCTCGAGTTTATCTTTAGAGGGCAAGTATATTTGTGAACCCCGAATTGTATATTTTTGTATGAGTCGTAACTCATTTTATACTATGGTCTAAATGATTTAAACATCATTTTGGGAGCTCTTAATGTAAACTATTTTATTTAAATTGTAGTTGATTTATTTTACCATGAGTGGTTACAAATTGTCATTTTAAAAGAAAAAAAATTTGGTTAGCCATTATGGTGATTCCGTGTGGCATTCTGATTGGTCGACTGTGTGTCGTACTAGTTTAGGGTGTTACAGGGAAGGTGGATTGAAATCGAAGCCTTGAGAGAAGCAAGAAACAAGTGTGGAGATGGGAGAGTGGGGATGACATAGAAAGATTGGTCAAAATGATGATCAAACGGTCAGATTAACGGTTAACATGCCACATTAGTTTTTCGTCATCCACAGTAACAGTCGTTAACTGTGAGTGACCGATTTGTTACAAAAAACAACGTTAGTGACTGATTCGTTACTTCTGAAACTTAAGTGGAAAAAACAAAAAAAATTACACAAACATTAGTGATCATTTGTGTTTGAATTTATCATTTAAAATATTTATTTGATTTTATTGTTTTCAAATTAAATTTCGGACTTAATTCATGTCATTGTATTCTAAGGTAATTTCTTGCAAATCAGTTTGACTTTGGGTACACATATAATCTTTTCCATATCTGCAACATTCCTAGATTGGTTTTCTCTTTTTGCCTCAAATTTTCCTTTCTTTAATGTTCTCAACTGGTTGTAAAAAGGGAAAGGAGTTGAACAACAGATCATTTTCTTGACCATGACATCAACAACTTTCAGACTTAAAATTTTTCAACCAACAATATGAAAAACCTCTGTTTCCCTAAATCATTATTTCACCATCTGCTTGTGTTTTCAAGACATTTAACATTTATGGTATCATCAAAATGGACGTTTAAGAAGCTTCACAGTCTCCAAACAGCTGAAAAATCAAGGTCTCCCAACCCATGCTTCTGCCCTTCATGAAAGCTCATTGGATTGTTCCTGCTACTGGCATCAATACACCATTTTGATCCCCAAGTGCGAGAGCCAACCTCATGTCTTTCTGCTGATGTTTCAATGGGAACATAGACGAATAATCGTCTCCGAGCATTGCTGGTCCCTTCCCTCGAGTTAGCAATGCCACCCAAGTACTGCACGAAACATGTTCAAGGGCACCGCAAGTTCCAATGTGGCACAACCTGATAACATCATTTAGCTCTGTCAATCTTACCAACACGTCGAGAAGGTCGTGCGGGTTCATCCGCTTCTACCGCCAACGAGTCCTTCCGCGTTCATCACACTGCGGAGGAGGGAAATGAATGTGTCGAATCCCAATCAAGTACTCGGATTTGTCGACTCAAAGAAAGATGGAGCAAGACATTACCTTCCCATATCATGTTGAGAACAAGTTTCATTTTTGCTCAATGCCAATTTGTCCCAAGAAGAATGACTTCTTCCCCAAGACATTGAAGGCGGAAATGCTTCTTCGTACAATGCCTAAATTTACAGTGGGAACATATTGCAGTCTACATAAAAAAAATACATGATTATTGTAAAAACAGAGAAGCTGCCTATCAATTGACCTATCTCCAGCAGCAAGAATGACCATTTGACCAGTTTCTGCAGGTTGTTTGCTACCGGAAACAGGCTCCTCGAGGAAGCGACCGCCTTCGATATAATCGCCTGTAAATATCCCACCGAAGAAATCAGTGTATCCATGATCTGATTTGTAAGTCTGAGACATAAAAGAAACATCATAAATGAAGAAATTTTATGGTAACCTCGTTGATTTTTTATGGTAACCTCGTTGATTTTGGAAGAAGACTGGGGATCAACAGTTGACATGTCAATATAACCTTTACCATTGCAAATTTGCACAAGACACCATCTTTGTCGAATACAACCTTAAAAGCAACCATGAAATCCACATATTATGCGGTGATGACAGTTTATTCAAAACTGTAAATAAAAAAAACTGTTATTAGTTAATTAATTACTGAAAGAGCAGCAGGGTCGGACAGAATGGCAATGGTGATCTGCATTTCTTAACTACTTCTGCAGGGTTTGTCCTACTGAGGCATCATGAGCCACAACTTCATCACACTGCAATATAAATATATATATATATATAAAAACAAATAATACAAACCCATCAATCAGATATTAAAACTGAAACAAACTGCAACTGGATATGATAATATTCCAATGAAAAGTAAACAAAAACCAGAAGAAGAAGAAGATGTTTTATGTTGGTGGTGGAATGAGAAGTTTAGAAAAAGCAAACCTTAGAACGAGTTCTGTTCCAAACAGTGACTTTGAATCCATTCTTGAGCAAGTTCATGGACATGGCTTTGCCCATTATTCCCAGTCCCAACAACCCTATCTCCATCATCATCTTCTTCTTCTTCATGTAAGCATAGCTATATAAATACTAAAAAGAACGCTTAGAGTATTGTTTTAGGTCGACGAAAATTACAACGTTTAAATCACTATCATCCTTGTCACCCAATAAATATTTTTAATACAATTATTTTTCTTTGATTATTACTTTGATAGTGAATGGTAAGTTAAATATTCTGATCTTTGGAAATTAACTTGTTGGCGTTTAGTGGATAAACGGCCTCGTTTCCACGTAAGCCTATGATGACAAGGAAGATCATGCTTCAGAGCTTATTTTTTTTTAATTGAAATAACACTGAAAATATATTTCTTAATCTAACATTTTTTAGTATTATAATTGGTTATATGTTCAGGGACGGAGCCACCTTATGGATGGGAGGAGCAGCTGCCCCCTCCAAACCAACATTGACGGGCTAACTTCATTTTAGGCCTTGAACATTTTAAAACTATTACAATTAAGTCCTTCCCCAAATTCTTGGTATAATTATTTTGGGATACTATCAGTTTTTAAAATTAATATAATTAAGTCTTGACCCAAAATTTATATGATTTAATTATTTGTAAGACATTTAAATTTTAAAATTAGTAGAATTAAACCCTCAATCTCTTAATTTTTTATGATTTAATTACATTTTAATATCCTATTTATTTTAAAATTAAACAACTTATCCCAAGAATTTAAATGAAGTTTACGGTAACTTTTTTGTTGTGTCGCGTTTATCATGATTATGACATGTGGGTGTTATTAAGGTATCATGATTGTGAAATAATGATTTCAAATGATATCTCTATCGCTATATAATGGCCGCTATTTTGAAAGCGAACCCTATTTAAATTCTTGTTTATCCTCCCCTCATAATTTAATCCTGAATCCGTCCCTGTATATGCTACTGTTAGATTATGACATGAGAAGTTGACATTTTGATGTATATGTATATGTTGCAATGACTTGGTTATATTGATGAATAAATTACCCTTATGATGAGCATGGTAAATAATGTGGTCAGTAAATATATTCTGTAAAAATGTTCTCGTAAGGATGTGGGGTCTGTTAGATATAATTGGCTAGTTAAAAGGATTCTGTATTGTATTGTTCGCCTTTAGTATATACTGATCATCCTTTGGGGTATATTGTCTGTTCACGTAATTATTTGAGAGTCCATCTCTTATGTTGAAATTATTTTATTTTATCTATGATGTGTATATTGAAGCTATGACATGAATAATGATAATGTGTTATGAATATTGATGATATAATACCTGAATTTATGAAATTTGATTGATTAATACATCACCTTATGGATAACTTAGAATAATAAGAGTTATGTTTAAGTGTATTTTATTTCATTTCTAGTAATTTATATTATAAGACCCAACAAAAGGGATTAACTTCCGAGAGAAAAAAAAAGCAAGGAAGTCGCATTATTGTTAGGAGTTGCTCACAACCATTCAATTAAATTCAAATGATTATTTTATTTATTTTATTTTTGATGAAAAATTCAAAGGTTTATTATAAAGTTAATGCTTATATGTCATGTATACGAATCTCGTGCGATGTGATTAATTATAATTTCTAAATAATTTTCCCAATTTTCAATCACTACTGCTTCTTATTCCTCTTTGAATTTTTTTGGGGGTTAGGATTGTAATTGGACCACCAATCTGTATAATAGTTCCCTTTTTCTTAAATTTAATTTCAGCTATAACAAAATGAAATATTGACGAACCAGTGGTGTATATTCTCCGAGACATTTTGTGGATTACAGAACTCCTTCTGTGGTCAGTTTTCTCCTCCTACCGTATATGCTCACCAAAGTTTTTCTTCCTCTGCCCCAAAAAAATGAACAAACAAAAACCCAGAAACCAAACAATAAAAATTTCTCAAGTGTATGTGAAATGGCCGTATCGAGGACGACACCCATTGGCTTCTTGAGCTTTCCTTAGTCAACATCGCATTCGCCGCACTTTGTCTGTAGTTAGTTGTCAGCATTGGCATTTTGAATTGCACGAAGAAGATCGGGTAAGAAATCCATCTGTGAGCTTGATGCGGCCCAGTAGTGTTTGTTGGGGACATCATCTAAGAAGAAGCAAGCCAAATGCACAAGGAAAGAAGGCAGTGAGATTTGGAAGAAGAATAAGAAGGACGTAGGTGAGGGAGAATACCTGATGGGGAAGTCTGAAATTCCTCCAGGCTGAATCACTACTTCCAGAGTACAGAACAGGTCCTTCTGAAACAAGGAGAACCACAGTAGACTAAAACCATCTAGTGTGGTCCTTTAACTCAATAAATGCAGAAGAAAACCATCCATCATTACATGAGATGCTAAGATGACAATCCAAAAGCCCCTAAACAACAGGTGGCAAACACACAACTGCTTACACTAAAATATAAATGAAAGAGCAACTTTCAGCTCATTGTTAGCTTTCTTTAACATCTTTACTATCAGTGAAACAGAACAGGATAGGAGCTAGTGGAAATCATTTTAAGAAGATTCATAAACCCATACCTGGGATGAGGAACCTTTGCATATATTTTCACCACAAAGTTTATACAAAAATGATGATTCATCCACTAGCATAGCTCAAATCTCGTTGGTTTGTGCTACAGCCTACAGCTTGAATTAACTTATAACCCAAATTGATCCCTCAATATCTTAATTTGATTTAATTATTTCAAGTTTGTTTTTTTTAAGTTAGTTTTATTTAAGTCTATTATTATTATTACTACTATTATTTAAACAGTACATTGATTAGCATAGGACTCTTAGTAGTTAGTAAGAGTTCTAGTATAACCATTCAACTAGAAAGCTAATAGGACTGCTAGTAAGAGTTTTATTATAAATACTATACTAGGGGATTTATTACAATCAATTTTTGTTTGTTATCGTTAAGAGTGTTTTAATGAAGTAGGTTACTGGAAATCCCAGAACCGTTTTTTATCCCCAGTCAATTATGTATGTCATCTTCTTTCAATTTTCTTAGCTATTCAGATTTCCCCCTACAAATAATCAGAGCTTAATTAGATCCCAGGTTTATAGTAGAAACAAATTTTTAAGTTATGTTAAGATGCAGCATAAGTTAAGAGAAAATCAAGGCCAGCACAGAATTGTCTGAAATGAGGCACATGATTGAAAAATTGTAGCAGGCCGTAAAAGCTTCGAAGCGACGGGGATGTAGAAACCCAAATGAAGATTCCAAAAGCTGCTCAAATCCTTTGGACCAGCCAGAAGCAGTGAATTTGATGAAAGAGAGGCTGATAACTCTTTTCATAATGCTAGACCTACAATTTATTGAGTGGAAACCCATGGCTAAACCTAGAAAAGTTTTATTTGTTTAAAAGGTGCTAACTTCAATGGGGGAAGAGAGTTGAGGAACAGTGATAATATCAACGATAGCCAAAAATCAATTGTTGGGAACATATGGAAGGGAAGATGTCGACACAATTTCTGCCAGCAAATTATGCTATGAAACTTAATTGAAAATTAAACAGCTCAGAAAGAATGTTAAGTCAGTCGATCGCTACACTACTGAATTTAATTTTGTCCATTAGAGTTGGTTCGAATGAGACTATTGAATAGCTAATGGCTTACTGTCTTGCAGGTTTGCATTAGAGTATTAGAGATGAAATGGAGTAGTTTGTGTCTATAATTTAGAAGATGCTCGCCATTATGCCTTACAAGCTGGAAGCAATTGCCTTATGGTGCAAGTAGACCTTTATCTAATAGGGAAGATGGCATTCCCTAGGCCATCAACGTGGTAAAGAAATTGCTTCTTCAAGCAAGCTCTATGGTGGAAATGCAATAGAAACCAACAAAGGTTAAGGAAGAGTAAGATACAGGGTGAAACGGAATCCAACTTTAGTAAGGTAAGCAGTGGAACTCATGTTCTTTGTGATTCTAAAGTATGTGAAGCCATTATTGACAGTGGGAGTACGGAAAATTATATCTCCAATTAGCTGGTATACCTAATCTAATCACTAAAACTATACCCTTCTTATCATGCAAATAATGAACCGCTGCAAGATTTGCTCCACAGTCAGGATCACCAAGCCATTCAAATCAAAATTAAAATGGGAAGTTTCATAAGTTTTCTATTCTTCCACTCACCAGACAAATCAATAGATGTATCATGATAGCGATGTAAGGCAGCTGCCCAACCTGCATTGTAGAGATAAACAATGAATGTATCAGCCATATGATTGCATGCATGAATTCTTAAAAATTTTAAAATTCTATCTAAAAAAGGTTATACTACTCAAACAAGCAAAAAAAAGACATCTTACGATTGATTAAAAGCCGAGAAGCACTTCTAGAACAGCCTTCTAAAGGGTATTAAAGCAGGAAGACGGTGGTCTTCATACAAGATAGCGCTGCTCCCAGCATCCCCGATCATATTATTGTTTCTCACTTCACCTTGATTCTTCTCTGAATCATTCCCATAAACATTGTTAGTCCAATCAAACCAATCTGCAAGTCTAATTACAACTCAGTCTACCAACTGAATGAAAATTCAAATCATTCTTATACACAGAACCCACCAGGAAAAAAAGGAATGATCAATATTATAATATTTAGTTATTTTATCGATTTTTAATAATATTTCTCTCGATTATTTTCTTGTAAAGGGTATTATGACTATCAGTATTTATAAATTTTCGTTGTAGGTTTATTTCTTGGTTTTCTTCTCGATTATAATTCAACATGCTTCCATAAATGTGATTATCTTCAAAGGGAGAAAGTCCACCATGGTTGGTGTTTGAAGTTGTTGGTACGATTAGTTTATGTACGTCATTACTTCAATTGTTCATGATTACTTATTAGATTATTACTAAACGATCATTGCAAGATTTTTTGATAGTGTCGACTGTGTTTGTTCGGTCTATATTTGATAATACGTTTATTGATGAAGTTAAATAATTTGATTGACTGTCGAACTGTCAAAATAAAAAGCCAAATCCCATTTACATTGTCTTATATTCACCGATTCAATCCCTGAATCAGAAAAAAAGTACCTCAAAACCATACTTCAATCTTCAAACCCCCCATCGATTCCAAACAAACCATTTCGTATTCTCCAATTACCAGTTTAAAGTTGTGTCTAGTACGCACCAACAATAAAAGAGCTCCAGAAATCTTCATCCAGAGAAAGAGAAAAATCCATCACCCTCCTTTGAAATGGCCCTTGTTTCAGCTGAAATTACAAGTAAAGAGAGTGCGGAAATAAATATGTCGGTACACGTCCCAATACATCCACAACTTTGATGACATTGATCTTGACAAGCTTCTATTCTAAATACTTAGAAAGCTACATCCTAAGAAGACGGATTCCAAAATTTGGAGACGTTCCAAATGAAAAAGAAATTGTAAGAAGCCTCCACACTAAAAGAAAAGTCTCAGTAGCCCCCAAAAGAAATCTAAAAACGAAAGGAAATGATTCAAGTACAACTATTAGGAAGAAGCAGCAATGCAAGGCATGATAAATAACAATCAATCGTTCAAACATCTTGTAGACACTAATTTCCGTCCACATTTTTTAATTTATACATATATACACATATATATATATAGTTTGCAAATTGTTTTTGAAAATCAATATAATATAGTTAAAACATTTTTGAAAATATGTATATTATATATTTAAAATATTTTGAAAATTATATAATATATAGTTTTGAAAACGTTTTAAAATATATAATATATACTTTTGAAAACGTTATGAAACATTTATATAATTTTTAAAACCATTTGAAAACTTATATAAGATATAGTTGTAAAAATAATTTTAAAGTTTATATAATATATAGTTAAAAACATTTTGAATCAATAATATAGTTTTAAACGTTTTTGAAACTATAACATATAGTTTTAAAACGTTTTTTTAAATTTATAATATATGATTTGAAAATATCTTGAAAAATCTTATATAAGTTTTAAAACATTTTTATCATATAGTATTTTATTCTTTTTTTATTTATTATTTATATTTATTATTTGTTTTGTTTTATTATTTTTTTATCGTTTTTGGGTGTTTGTACAGGTCCAAGAATCCAGTCCAGTGCACAGGTCAAGTAGTTGGGCCTGAACAGCCCAAGACCCTTAGGGTTCCCACATGTCTCACAGCACTGCGCCGTGTGGGAAACCAACCCAGTCAGTCATGCAAACGGCCAGAAGAGTCCGGCCGAGATCTGGGACTGAACCATCCCGAGGTACTCGGCAACAACCCACCACGATCCCGCTCATCTCGGAACCCGAACGGCCAACACCGGGGCTATAAAAAGCCCCCGGTTAGGCCATGCAAAGGGGGGAAAAAGACAGCATCATCGAGAGATACGAGAACCATCGACACAAAACCAGTCTACACAGAACCACAAGCCTAAAGCCAAAATACCCACAACGAGAACAATACCCAAGTATCATCGGGAGCAAGCCAAACACAATCAGACAACCAAAAACCACAAACAAAAAAAACAACAGAAACCAAAAGCCAAGCAACAATCACTAGAAAAAAACAGAAAATCGAGGGTTACTCGGTTTTGTTCATCGAGAGTACGTAAGAGCCTAGCCATAACCGAGGAGTGGCCGGAACTCAAGAGACGCGGTTTTAAAGGGTAAAAAACAAAGCTTACACTTTAGATCTACGCCGTTTTGGGGATATTGTGGGATTTGGACTTTGGATTGGCGCTCGGGGTGTCAAGGAGAGTGTTCTGGGCTTGTTTAGACTTTCCGGCCACCGCCGGTGGTAGCCGGAGGCGGCGGTGGAAGGCTTCTGGGCTTGTTTAGACTTTCCGGCCACCGCCGGTGGTAGCCGGAGGCGGCGGTGGAAGGCGGAGTGGCTACCGGTCAGGGGCCGGCTTTCTCACCGAGCGAAGGAATGTAGAGAGGGACGAGAGAGATATCTGTTGAGAGAGAGAGTGTAAACTGGAAAATGGGAGGAATTTGGAGAATTAGATGCATTTTGGGGGTTATGGGTTCAGTGAAACGGCGCCGTTTTAGGGTGCGTTAAAACTACGTCGTTTTCGCCCTCACCCATCCGTGTTTCTGAATATAAAGGATAATCTCCCTTTTGGTCCTCCTTATTTATAATCCTGACGTGTAGCCATTAATACAGCTTTCTTTTTTTTTTCAATTTAAGCCTTCATTTTTTATTTTCATTTCAGTCACTAATTCATATATTATGTTTGATGATTTCCAGATTTGGCCCTGTAATTTATGCCTATTCTATTTTAGTCACTATTTGATAGGTTTAATTACTATTTGGTCCCCAACCTTTTTTTTCTTTTTTTTTTCTGTTTTTTAATTACTATTTATTTTATGTGTTTATTTCTTATTTCATTCCTTACTTCTAACATTTTTTTTTCTTTCTTTTGTTTTTAATTCCTTTTTATATTCTTTGATTATTTCTATTTTTTCTTTATTTAACACTTTTTGACTTTTTAGGGATTTTCGATCGATTAAAGGTAAGTGATTCGAATTGGGTTTTTAAATTTTAATTTAAATTTCTAATTTCTGTAATGAAGACAACCGAAATTAATTGGTACCGAAAGGGCGGTTCAAGGGTGCTAATCCTTCCTTGACCGTAACCGACTCCCGAACCGACACGTTTCTGGTACAACGCAGATCAGGTAAGATGGTGTCCGATCCACCTAAATATTTTTAAAGTGATCGGTGGCGACTCCAATCCATTTAATCCAAGTCGAAGCCCAATTCCGGGGCCCAACCGAAAGACGGTTGCGACACATCTGTAAGAGAAGTTAGCAAGAGTCTTCATAAACGACATGGCAAAACGTGCTTATTAGGTTTCATTTGTACTGGTAAAGAAAAAAAACCAAGTGCAAGGCAGTACGTGAAACTCCGAGAACACCGATTCATGGATTAATGCAATAGTTTCAAGTCGATATAGTCCAAGCTACAATAGTCGCAAAACATATTGTTCGTTAATTCTCAATTGTAGCATAATTTTAAATGTTATTTAATTCTATTTAAATAGACTTAAATTGTGGTTTTGGAAATGATGATTTTTCTTTCACTATTTAACATATAAATAGCGAGTAATTTCATTCTTTTTAATACATCCCAAAGCAATTGTTTGCTTTAAAAAACACTCATAGAGTGTTGCCTTGAGTCGAGAGAGAAGATCAATACCATCAAGTCTACTCTATCTTTCGGGTGTAAGAAATTTAGATCGCCTATTGTAGCGATTACATGATGAAAAAATTCTCTCTTTTAAGTGAGAGTCGGATATGCAGCGACGTTGAGATCGTTAATTTTCGTCAGGATAAATTAAGTAGCATTTTCTATTCGTGAAATTATGACGACTTACCATACAAAATGAGTTTGTTTGGAATTAATGGGGATTGAAGATTGAGCCATGGGTTTTGACAGGGGATTGAAGTGGTGAAGAAGAAGAAGAAACAATATTGAATGGGATTAGATTGGTTATTTTGACCGTTGGACAGCCAAATCAGCTTATCTAAAAGTTCACATCACCATTTTGTTACCATAGTAACACCCGTTAATATTGAGTGATCGATTTATTACAAATCGATAACGTTAGCGACTAATTTGTTACTTTTAAAACTTTAATAGGAAAAACAAAATTGCCCGTTAATATTGAGTGACCGATTTATTACAAATCGATAACGTTAGTGACCAATTTGTTGCTTTTAAAACTTCAATAAGAAAAAAAAAACTTACTCAAAGATAAACGCCATTTGTTAGTTTACCCTATTTTTAACAAATGTCTAAAAACATGAAATATAACTCGTTAAATGGTTTAATAGTAAGTAAATATTGTTCACTCTAGAAGTTATATCTACAATGTGTATGCATTATCAATTGGTTAAAAAAATCAATAAATATTAGTTATTAAATTTTAGATAAGTGTTTTATCATTATTAAAATTTTAAAAGTTATAAAATGATCACTAATATAATTATTTTATAACAATCCATCCTTTAACCATTAATAGTTATTATCGTAGCCACGTAAAAATGTGACTATTTGATTGATTTACTCGACATTATTTGATGAGGTTAAACTACGATTTACCGACTATTTAACTCACATATAGAACACCCAATTGTTTAAATAAAAATAATAATAATGAGAAATGGATGAATTAAAAGAGAGAAATTCAAGAATAAGTTCATTTAATCAAATTTATCAGCGAAAATAATAATTCTCTCATGAAATTTTTTTTTCAGAAATCTGAAATGGATATAAGATATTTGCTTAAAAAAAATCATTTAATAATAAAAATATATATGATGCTGAAACTTAAAACTTAACAAGGTAGTAATGATTTTTTAAATGAGCGGAATCACTT